AAATAGCAAGCATCAATGAACTCTGAAAAAGCCATCATATCAGCTGTCCATCTTCCCCCTGTCGATCTCTCAAAAGGGAAATGAACAACATTGAAATCCCCCCCGATACACCAAGGCAACGACCATTGCCTATGAATCTCCCCCAACTCCTCCAAGAACAAATGGCACTCACTATCCTCCGTAGGCCCATAGACCCCAAAAAAAATCCATCGAAAGCCATCCTCCACCATGGAAAGAGTACAGGAAACCGAGAAACGCCCAACCTGAGAATCCAACAAAGAGATCCAACGGACATCCCACATATCAGGAAACCTCTCGAAGAACCAATCGTATCCAAGGCACACCACTCCACGAATCTCCCACCCCACAAACTTCGAACAATCACATCCATCATAGAAGCAATCTTTGTTTCTTGAAGACAAACAAGATGACCACCCGCTTTCCGAATCACCGATTTCACCACTTTCCTTCTAGTCGGGTCGTTAAGACCCCGAACATTCCATGAAAGAATTTGAAGCTTCATAGGGAAACAGTAGAATTGACCGTGTCACCCCTCCTCCCACTGGCCCTCTCCCTGGCCCCCCTCCTCCTCCTCCTCCTCCTTTCGTAAGTAACGAGAGTCGAGGGACTTGGAAACCCTCTCTCCTCTCTCACCACTGGAGCACTCCCCCTACAATCCATTCTATCAGCAAACTGAGCATTAAGAACATCAAGGAAAAGATTTGTCGCCTCCTCCATCCGACCCTCAAATGACACACCCAAAAGAGAGCCTATCTCAACACCATTTTCTTTCAACCAATCTTTCTCCAAATCAGCCAACCCAGCATCAAAACCCCTTCCTTCTGCAATATCTTCTTCTGGTCTAACAACTGCCAAAGGAGTAAGCAAATCAGCATCAAACTCACATCCATTCCACAAAACCATGCCCGCCTCCCCATGAACAGAGGAACACGACCCATCCTCCCCATACTCAATAGATGACAAAGATGGAGAGCAACAAGAAAAAGGAGTTCCAAACACCTCATCAGCCAAACGATCATTCTGGTCAAAAACAGAGCCCTTCGACACAAGATGAGCTCTCAACTCGTTTAAGAGCACAGCAGCTGAAACATCATCAATCCTTATCTGCACATCCCGACCCACACACACAGTAAAGCCGTCACTGCTAACATCACACAACCGAGGAGAACCCATCTCAAAATCATCGTTGTGATCAGGTCTTTTCTAAAGAATAAGCTCCGGCTCCCTTTCAAAAACCGGAGACAAGCATTTTGACACAGAAGCAACAACTCCCTTTTTCGGCACTAAGCTCCTTCGAGACACCCCACAAGGATGAGAAGTGGAAGAAGAAAGGAGAGCGGGAGAGTGATAAGGCGAATCAAAAGACATACACGATCCAGAGGCAAACTTCGAAACCGGAATCCACTTCTGTTTTTCCTTTCTAGACCATTTTTTGCGAACAGGGGGGAAAATCACTTTCTTCTTCATACGGTGTCCCTGCAACAGCCCCTTAGAACTTCAACTTCTTCTAGAGCCTTCAGGAAACGCTGTGGACAGATTAATTTCAATGATATCAACAGCATCACATAAAGGCCCAAACCGGTTACCCAACACTGGCCCAGAAAAAGAAACATTAAAAGCACTCGGACCTTCCTTCAATGCATAACCCAAGTCAACGGGTCCAAGTCCACAACACACAACATCCAAAGATTAGGCCTTACCACCTCCATCCGGACCATCAGATGATAACACATCTTCGTTAATCAAGCCAGGCTTGCCGACCACAGGCCCACAAGAAGAAGAAAATGAGTTAGATCCAGAAGCCTTAACCCTCAGCCCATTATGAGGCCCAGTCACCGACTTAACTCCAAAATTGGTCTTGCTTTTAATCGGAGCCCAAGGTTTTGAAATGCAATTGGATGCAGCTGTCAACCACTTTGAACGGCCAAAGCCTCTGCGCCAACCACGTGTCAGGCCGCCAACGCTCTCCCTCCCACGCGCTTGATTGACGTGAGAACCACCATGTCGACGCTCCTTTCTCCACATCTACATGAACGCCAGCCGGCCAAGACCAATGAGACCACCCTCCTTATGCCTTTTCCGGAACCTCTCTTGTCGACGAGAAACAGTTCCATCCGATTTGACTTCTTTCCTTCTCAGAGTGAATAATCGTCTAAAACATTCCGAGTTGCGCTTCCATAAATCGTCCCTCCATTCCTCCCATCTCTGAAACTCAGCCAAGCCTTTCTTCCCCAAAGACTCCCACCTTAACCATTCTGTCTCCTTCAGCAGGTGTGAACCATCGCCTCCTTCCAAACTATCCATTGTCGGTACAAGCTCAGGAGGCTTCTCTTCCCACACCTTCACTTTGTAGTAGAGACGATCATCGTGGATGAAAACAAAAGGGGGGCAAACCTTGCCGCCTGATACTGTTATGCGAACCCTTTCAACGTCAATTGATTCATCGGCGTCCACCCAAATGAAACCACCGCAAAGATCACCGACCATAACAAATAGGGCATGACTCCAAAGATGGAGAGGGAGACCATACAACGTCACAATCTTCAGGCCCTTACCCTTCAACACCTCGGAGCACCCCACCCTAAAACTCCAAGATTCCATTCGTAGTGTGGCCGTCCCCCAAACACGACGACCTTCTTTAAGCACACGAGCCGCTTCCTTCGCAGAAGGAAAACGAAAAAGCAACAAAGAATCCGGTAGAGGTGAGATCACAACACCGGCAGAAACCTTCCAAACCCGAGAAGCCCAAGCCGCGATTTGAGCCCAATCACCCACATCCTTGTCGAACTTTCCCACCAAACACGATCGAAGGTCCTCTCTTCTTCTTTCAACCGAATCATTATCCAGGAAAAACGAATGTCCTCGATATGTGTTTGCAGATCTAACAGTTCCGCCTTGAAATAGACGGGGTAACCTCGCAACATCCACGAACAAGTAGATTTGGGAAGTGGATATGGAGGTTTGGGGTGGAGAGGCATAGGCTTTGGAGAAGGGTGATAGCGAGTAGATTTGGGGAGAGGAAAGGAGGGTGGAGCTCTCTTGAGGTGCGTATTCCAGGGGGTATGGGGGTTTGGAAATTCATCCGGAAGGGGTGGGATGGTTTTTCCAAACACATTAGATTTTGGCTCAGGGATGGTAGGACGATCTGTTTCTAGGAGAACGTTTGGTGTGGGGATCGACCTCTTGCTCTCGTTTTCCCCCAACTCTTCAGGATTACCACGGATAGGCAAACCATGGTGGTCAACTGTTATCGGCTTGATAGCGGGAGATCGTCTTGGGATGTTCGTTTTAGGAAGCATTGTTAGGATTGGGAGATTGAGGACACCATTGGTTTTTTGGAAATGCTGTATCGCCAGGAGATCATGGGTGGAGATTCTGATGGTTGGGTGTGGGCTCCTGCTTCTCAGGGTCGTTTTGATGTTCGGTCCTTCTATAGGTGTCTTAAGGAGGTGCCAGGGGCTCCTTTCCCGTGGAAGGCTATTTAGCACTCCAAGGCCCCCCTCAAGGTGGCCTTCTTTGCTTGGACGTCTGTTTTAGGGAAGATTTTGACACGGGATAATTTGAAGAGGAGGAATCAAGTGGCAGTCAACTATTGTTGCATGTGCCTTCGTGCAGAGGAGACAGTGGATCACCTCATTTTGCACTGCACCATGGCTAGGGACTGTTGGGATTTGATGCTTGGTTTGTTTGGGGGGGTTCAGTGGGTCATGCCCAGATCCTCCAGAGGGTTAATTGAGGCTTGGAGAGGTTGTACAGTGGGGGTCCAAGTCCGGGATACTTGGAGGGTTACGCCTTTGTGTATCTGGTGGTGTATTTGGCTCGAAAGGAACAGGAGATCTTTCGAAGGAAAGGAGAAACATATTTTTCAAGCACATGTTAGATATTGACACTTACTAAACACTCCTAGGCACATGCCCAACAATCAACATGTTACTACCACTAACTTTAACCTTGCATTATGATTTCCTTTTAACGTAAGGGGAAAAAAAAAAACTAAATTGTATAAAATATCAAATTAAGGATTTAAATAAATTGTATATAAATCTTTTAAATAATTTAGGAAAGAAAATTAGCATAACATAAGATTGAGGAGGAGAGTCGAGCAATATGTGCGTGTACCCACACACACACACAAGGACAAACGTGTTATGCCCTAGCTGTGGCGTCTATGCAATTCAGTTCTTCGGTGGGGGCACCGATTCAGGATGCTTAGAGGGCTACGCCTCTATATGTGTGGTGGTGTATTTGGCTCGAGAGGAATAGGAGATATTTTGAAGGAAAGGAGATGCCTATTTCTATGCTTAAATTCTCTATTCTTTCCACTCTTTTTTGTTGGGCTTCAGGGTGATATTATAGATCTTTAGAGGAGATTGTTAATTTTTTGGCCTCTTTGAAGGTTTAGAGGCCCTTTTTGGCCTTGTGTATTTCTCTTGGGCTTCGCTCCCTTCGAGCGCTTTTATACAATTTTACTTATCAAAAAATATATATATTAGTCCCACTGATGTGGGGTGTTCCTTCAGCAGGAGTTTGCATGAAGTGACTGTTGTTAGACTTGGACTCACACCAAGCATTACCCAAATTGGGAACCTTGCACAAATATTAAATCCTATCCCCAATATGTCAATAGCACTTCTAATTAAGGAAACTACTGTGAAAGAATTCAATAAATAACAAAAATGTAAATTAATAAAAAAAAAATTAGGTAGTTTTGCGTAGGGCCACAAACAAGAAAAAAAAAAAAACAAGGGAAGTATGATACAAGTAACTATGGAAACTTTTTAGTTGAAACTTTTTAATTTGTTGCGACAAAGAGTCTACACGCAGTAATATCCAAAAGTTACAATATTGCTTCACTAGAATGTATAATATAAAGAACAGGAACAGAATGATGCTAGGTGCCAATACAAACTCATGAGGGATCTAGTCTTCTTGAGTCTTGACAGATTATATCGAGAAAAGGTAAAAAAAGGATACTTTACCGTAATCGTCTCGGGGGCGTTGTCCATGGTCTCCTAAAACAGCAGTTACCAGTTCCATTGATATGCACATACGGTTTCTCTGGAAGAGTCCACTAGTTAATATTATTTCACAGAGCACAAAAATGAACTTAGCAAGGACATGAACATAAAACAGACAGAAGACGTGGCATGTAAATAATAAACCCAAAAGCAAACATTCTTATATTAAGAAGCAGAATACAAATTGAAGAACTGCATGATTCCAGAAAAAAATAAATGTAATGACGCATGCTTGAATTCTAAGTAATCATTATTGGTTGAAAACTTGAAATACATAATGTTGAAGCTCTTCATGAAGGGAGGAAAAACTACTTCCGGAATTTGCACCACTTTGAAGGACAACTATGCACATTGTCCGGGTCCAAATGGTGAAAGGGGTGTAGTAGCAGATCTATTCAATAATTCTGTGCAGCACTTCATTTCCACCCTCACACTCTCCATGAATAATCAAGCCCAAAACAGAACAATTTACTATTTGATATTTCTTGACCTTCAATCTTACTGCATCCCCATTTGTATTCTTAAACCATCTAATCGTGGCAATTTCATAATGGATAATATACCTCAAGGTAGTCATTGAACTCTGCTTGCTTCTTGCTGGCTCTAGCGCCCCATGCCTCGCAAAACGTCCTTCCAAGAACAAAAACACCAACGGCAGTGTATCTGCACCAAAATTAACATTCAACAACCTACAATATAAACTGCAATAACAATGAAAATAATAGCAAAGTTGACTATGATAACCACAATAACAAAAGACGAAGTATTCAAAGAAGTAACATGAAGATTACTTGTGAGCCATAATATATATATATATATATATATATATAGTATATGGTACTGGAAAATAGCGAACCCTCAACCTTCCAAAGTGGAAGGTGAGAAAATACCATTAGATTACAACCTTTGATGTGAACCGTAATAGCATAGACTATAATCCAAAGCCATATTGGTGAAGGTGGATCAATAGTTTCTTCCAATAATTACCCTCTTATCTATTGCTTATTTAACAATTGATGATATCATAAGAATTTTGAATTATAAATTTATTGTATTACTCGTCAGATAAAATAGTATTACTAATAATCCCTACGCCAGATACCTAAGATTCTTGGCTTCACCAATAGGCCAGTGGCCCAGCGATACCAAGCCCCTACTTTCCAAAGGAAGGTCGAGGGTTCAAGCCTCAGTGGAGGCACACATGGGTGTGTGAGTACAAACTAAGAAGAAGAAAAAAGATTTTTGGCTTCCTAATATACCAAACGTGGTGGAAAGCCCCCACATCTACACCTGTCCCAGGAGGGTGGGTGGAGGAGAGAGAGAGAGATAGAGAGATGCCTCACAAACAATTACTTCCATTTAAATAGATCAAAACCAAAGCTTGGATTGTATTGCATAAAGCATACATATCATGCATAACTTTGTGACCAAAATATCATTATCATAATCAATTTTGGTACATAGGATGTATAATGGACCCACTACACGAAAATAATCAAATTTCTACACCAAAATGGTAAGACGTGAGTGGAATAATTTGTGAGCAAACAGATGTCACCATTATGGCCATGCCTGGCCTGCTAATTTCTTCTTAATGCCACACCATGGCTCCATAGCTATGTTGTATCACTATAAGTCTATAACCTTGTAAGCATAAACCTACTATGAATTGTGAATGTTTACCAATATTATAAATTTAGCAACATTACAAAATTTATAGTAACTTTCTTTACTCTCAAGAACAATTGGTCAGGTACATCACACACCCATAGTAGGAGTGAGTACTGATAAATGAAAGTGGACACACAAGAAAAATTAAGAAGGAAGAATGTGGTGGGGAAAAGGCCAAAGATTATGAATCCCAAACATACATATTCCCATAGCTGTTTTTGGCATACGCTCCACCTTCATGACCAGCATACATAAAAAGAGACCCAGAGTGTTTAAGTGAGACCTGCACGTCATTAGCAAAGAAAACACACAATCAACACCTATGCAACAATATCCATTCAAAAACTCAGTCTGGTGGGGAATCAATAAACAAATGAAAAATATTTAAAATTCATATATATAATATAACAACAACAACAACAACAAAAGACCAAAAGGCAGTAGCCTAGTGGTAAAGAGACCCGAGTGTTTAAGTGAGACTTGGACATCTTAGCAAAGAAAACATACAATCAACCCTACGCGGCAATATCCATTCAAAAACTCAGTCTGGTGGGGAATCAATAAACAAATGAAAAATATTTAAAATGCATATATATAATATAACAACAATAACAAAAAACCAAAGGTTGTAGCCTAGTGGTATCTCCCCTACCTTCCAAAGGAGATGGTGAGGGTTTGAGTCCCCGTAGGGACAAATGGGTGCGTGAATTTCTTGTCAATGAAAAATATATAGTATATAACAACAAAAAAGTTGATATAGTTAAGTAAATACTTAAGAGATATTAATTTAAGGCTTTTTGTATAAAAAGTGAGAACTTTATCATAAAGAGGTAATTATTCAAAGTAAAACGAAGAGTATTATTCCCCACCTCCATGGTAGCCAGGCCTTTGGAAACCATCTCTATCATCCTTGTCCTAACCTGAATCAAATGGAAAAAAACCAAAAATGTCAAAACATAAATATAGTTTTAAGAGGGGATGCATCATCTATTGAAATAGCAGAAACAATTATAGAGCTTTCAAAAACAAACACCAAGGGTAGGACATTACAATAATGCATTTTTTTCAAATGAATAACGTCAAATTTACTAGACCAAAAAACAAATTACATATGCTAATAATTAAAACTTGATATGTGACCGTACTTCTGGTTCCAATGCATCTAAAATCTGATTTACCTTCCTTCAGATAAGAGCTGAAGTATACTTACCACACGAGAGACAGAGACAGAGACAGAGACAGAGAGAAGAAAACACACCTACAAATTGGTTCATCCATTCTGGTTGATGCTTTTTAAATATGCAGAGACACAAGAAAGGAGAATGACAACATGAAATTTTTAACAGGAAAAACTGGAGGATAGAACCATTTGGAAAAATTCTACCAGCATCCTTAATTTCATTTTGGTTTGTGCATGAAATGATAAGGATAATAAGAATGACATGGGCCCCATTTTGTGTTGCCATTAATCTCGGTATGATTTCAATGGACACAAGGGCATTTTGGTTATTTTACACCAAGGGGAATTGTGGTCATTTTGCACCCTGAGGGTGTTTTGGAAATTTTATAAAGACGTGGAAGGAAGGGGATGGAGTATCACCATTTTGGTGTTAAACAACCAAAAGCATATTTTTTCTGCTCTTACTTGTATTAACTATAAGCTTGACAGGTTGTGAAGTTCGAGCTTCTCAGAAGATCAACATGACTACCAAAGAAGTGAGAAGAAGTACAAATCCCCAATCATAAAATACACATCACATACATGTATATAACAAATTAAAAATTAGCTTGAATAGCATAAGCAATTAGCGCATCAATGTTTTTCTTCATCTAGTTAAAAAATTGTAAATAATAATAATAATATAAAAAGGTCACCAAAATACTAAAGATGCATAAAATAAAAACAACATGCAGCTATCCTGTTTCAATATCTTCAATACTTGCCTGGAAACACGTATAATAAGAAATTTTGGAGTCCAAGAACTCAAGAGCATATTATCGGTGACATCAAAACTCATTAGAGTCACATAATTATAAACTATAAAAGCAATTACCTCTAGATCTGACTTTTCATTCTCAAACTTGGGATAGAAGGTAGCTCTTATTTGAGCAAGAGAATATGTGGAGTTGTCCACGGTGAAATTTTCCATCAGATTGCCCCTGTATATCTTACTCAAACCAGCACTGTTTTTTCCAGCTGTTGCTGCCTGAGCTTCATTTTTATGGGATTCAACTGCCCAATGACTGGTGGATGCTCTCTCAGCTTCCTCAGCAGTGCCTCCACTTACTGTTCCGTATGACTTGGGTTTCCATATGGCTTTTTGACTTTGCACAGGGACATGGTTCGACATTCCAAGACTTCCAAACTGCATAGATGAGACCGCAGCAAAGGTTTGCCCACTGTTTTCAGCACTGCTCAATGCATCAAATCTGTCAGTGACAGCGGCTGCTGATGCACTATCGGTGGCTTGAAACGACCTGGTGGAATTCGGCTTTTCTTTCCACCTATGTTCTTTATTACCCCCCCTTCGCTGTATAACAAAGAATAAAACAAAAAAATACTCATACAGTCATATGCCAATTAAAGATGAAGCCCAAAAATCCAACCCTCAATCCATTAGTATCATTATAAGCATGCACTACCAAAGTTATTATTTTGAACACGGATGATAGAATGAACACCTAACCCCCAAGAAAAAACAAAAAACAAAAAACAAAAACATGGATGATAGAATTACAGTGATCCAATTTCATTAGAGTCCAAAATACAAACCAAGAACAATAGAGTTGCAATGATTTGACTTTCATTATAGTCCAAAATACAAACAAATGATGATAAAATTGCAGGTAATTTGATTTTCATTATAATTCAAAACACAAAGACCAGAAATTTTCCAATTCCCAAATCACTTCATAGAGAACAACTTACAAAATGCTGTGTAAAAATTGCATCAAATATCAATCAAATGACTAAAATGGCACCATCAAGAAAACGGCTGACATCATATATATGATATATTGATGATAAATTAGAAAAAGCAGTAAAGAATAAAGTACAGTATTGATAAATTATCAGTCTTGTGCTCTAAAAAGTAATAACCAAAAAATGAAGATAAAAATTTCAAACAAGCTAATATAATCCCAATGGAAATAGCCAAAAGTCGATCAACACATTAACAATAGCCAAAAGATGGTGAACACTTGCAATAGATCAACATAAGTATTAGAGTTTCTTCTTTAAAACCAAATAGAAAGTGAAAATTTCAAATATCAATTATTTCAAGAAAAAATGACTTTGAACCAATACCAATAGAGTATCTAAAAACACCAGCCAAAACCACTACAAAAGAGTGAAAGACAACCAAATATTTTCAAAAACAAAAACAACATAAAAAACCGAAAAGGTGCATTGTGAGATATCATGTATTATATACAAAAAAAAAAAGAATGCTTCTGATGTTAGAATGAAAAACATGCCAAGAAAGATGAATGAATTAAACATTGAAAGATTCAACAACAATCAGAAAATCGCAGTGTCAATTTCTACCAATACAGGTTCCTACTGGTTCATCCTGTCCTATCAAAATTATCAAACAATCTTAAGAACAATAAAATATAAATACAGAAGGGGAAAAAAGATAATTCAATAAATTGAAAAACATGCCAAGAAGATAAATGAATTACACGTTGAAAGATTCAGCAACAATTAGAAAAGAGAAATGATTCTACTGCAAAACATGTAACAATGAGGATGCCAAACTATCATTTTTTGAATTATCAAGAAACGTATAATGTATATGTAGATATATAGATATATACACACACCAAGTAATTCAAGAAAAAATAACTTTAAACCAATACCGATGGAGTATCTAAGAATCCCAGTCAAAACCACTACAAAGACAACAAGATATCTACAGATGCGAAGACAAATTTAAAAAACAAAAAGGTGCATCATAAGATACCATGTGATATATACAACAAGAAGAACAAACATTACCAAAAATGATTCTGATGTTCCAACAATAATAAGGAAAGGCCAAGAACGATTAACGAATTAAAAATTGAAAGATTCAACAACAATCTGAGAAGAAAACAGTTCTATTGCGATATTTGCAACAATACATGTGACTAATCGATGAATCATCAAACTTAAAGACAACATTGTATAATCGCCCTAAATCTATATACACACATACATATATTTAAAAATGATTCTGATGTTCGGGCAATAATAAGGAAAAATTTATTCTATAAGTTGAAAAACATGCCAAGAAAGATAAATCAATCAATAATCTGAAAATAAAATTGTTCTACTGCGATACTTGTTACAGAAACGATGATTAATAGCCCTAATATGCGTGTGTGCTCGTGTGAGGTACCTGTTTTTGCGGCATGGTTGAACGAGAGAGTGGGGTGGATAATCTGAGGGAACGAGAAAGGTTGATCGGAGAGCGAAAGAAGAAGGTTCTGGAACTGAGAGAAGGAGAATAATGAGAAGGAGAATGTGAAACTATGAGTGTGAAAAGGCAGACTACTCTCTGTGATAGAGACATTCAAGGTGTAATATATATAGAGGGGGGGGGAGGGGGGGGGAAATGTTATTTGGTGGGGGGTGCAGAGCACCGCCTTGAGGCTGTTTTCATCAAATCGTTTCGAGGGCAGAAAAAGAAGGCTTGCATTGGATGAATGAAGGAGTTGTTTCCGTAGCTATTAACACACGGCGCTTTCTAGCGTTTGCCGCCTGTGTTTACAGTCGATACATTTCTAGTGTGTACATGTAATGGAGCTACGGAGGTGAGGAAAGACCGGTTCAGAAGAGGCAGTGTAGGATTCGGTGTATCGCGAGTTAGTTTGATGCACTAACTATAGCCGTAGGATTTAAGCGACCCTTTACCGAATTGGAAAATCTTTTGTAATATTTTTTAATCCAAAAAAAACTGTAAAAATTTATTACTAACATATTACGGACATTTAAAGTGGGGCAAGGGAATATTATGTTACTAGTGTTCGGTTTTAAATCTAAGGGTCAGTTTGGTGCAATGAAAAAGGGAAGAAAGAAAAGGTGATAGAGGGTGATTAAAAAATTATGTTTGGTTTAAATGATTAGAAGAAAATGAATGATTTTGAAATGATATTACAAGGATTAAATAGTAACTTTCCTATCCTCCCAAAAATAAAATAAAAGAAAAGAAGAGACTTGATGTATTATTTCTGATGCCAAATTTACCTTACCCAACATTAAGTTTGCAAACCAAGAATTACATACCTTAATTAGTTGATTTAGAAAAAAAATTTAAAACAAAACCCATACATATAAGTTAGCTGTAGCAGTTGCAGAGAGAGAGGGGGGCAAACTTAAGAGTTGAGAGACAGCGGCTGAAGCTTGCGAACGGCGAACCCGAACCGGAACAGTGGGCGATGGAAACTGAAAGATATGGGTTTTGATTTTTTGAACAATCTGAAATGATATGCCGATATGGGTTTTGATATAGGTAATAGGTTTTGAACTTTTGATTCTTGCGGACAGATAGGTAAACTGAAATTTATGAGTTTTGAACTTCTGATTCTTGTAAATTTTGTAGTTTGCAATTGCAGAGAGAGTTGAGAATGAGACCAGAGATGGAGGTGATTGGGGAGGCTGAAATGATTTGCCCTAAAAATATTTTGTTTTTCAATAATAATATAATCAAATATATATAATACGAAAACAACACCTCCATGCATTTCGAGTGTATATTACTCCACTTGACTATTATTTTGTATCCATTACTCTCAGCAGCAAAACCCCTAAAGATACAAACATGCCCATTTGCTACCATCAAAGTTGGTTATTCGGTCGCCTAAAACCTACCAGCAAAACAAGGGTCCATTAGATTTTTTAACATTTAGACTCTGGTTTGTAAAATATCAAAAAAAATTATTTTTTAAGATAATATTTTCCTTTTTCCTTATATATATATATATATATATATATGATATTTGGCAAAGGTGTAAATTGAGGTTCAGGTCAGGTCAAGTCCATTAGGTGAGAGTGTTACTTTCCAAAAAATTGATAAGTAAATTATTCTTTTAAGACAACCAAATATCAAAAAAATAAAAATAAAATAAAATTTATTTTACACCCAAACAAATGGAACCAACTATTTGACCAAATGCCAATATATACTTTTTCAAAAATCTTTATGCAAATCTATATTGAAGATGTAATGAGATAGTCATAATAAATAAGCCTTATAAAACATCAATAGGGTGGAAGAATTAATTTAAAACTAGATTTATACTGTGAAGATCTTAAATTCAATCCACTCCCTTAAAGTTAACCTCTAAAAATTTTTATAGACACATAGCACTAGGTCTAGACAGATTCCAACTCACACACATGTGAAGAGTCTATCTGTCCAATACTCATGTTGTACTGCAGAAAAATCCCAACTTCGCCCACAAACCTTATCAAGGAGTCTAACCAGTCCAACTTCACCACAAAGACGAATCTTTTACCTTAGGCTTTCGTCACGTTAGAAAAATCTTGTTTTTCCTCTAACAACTTCACAACAAACTTCGATTCTAAAGTGAATTGTGAGATTATACAAGTTTTTTCTTCATCTGCTAGCGTTGGAAAGTTTTGCTTTTGTTCAAGTAAGTTTTAGGTTTTAATCCATGAATAAAATGTGTGAAAATTTTGTTAGATATCATTTGAGTCGGCGAGAAGTTGTTGCAATTAATAACAATGTATAACACGAGAACATATTGGGTATTTCGAAGATACTGACAATTTAGTATCCTATATGCATTTAGGGCTACAACTTGGGCTGGGCTAACCCAACCCCAACCCAGAAATTTTGAAATTTGGACTTAAAATTCACAAATCGGGCTCATGTTCGGGTTGAATTTTATCAAAAACCCAGATATGTTCGAGTTGAGCTCAGGCTCAACCCAAACCCAACCCAAACCCAAAATAAAAAAATAAAATAAAATATTTTTTTCTTCTTTCTCTTTCTCTCTCTGCCGCCGCCGTCCCTCTGCTGCCGCCGCCGTCGCCGTCCCTTCGTCTCTGCCGCCGCCGCCGCCGTCACTTCCAACCCATACATACAAGTTAGCAGTTGTGGAGAGAGAGGGGGGCAAGCTTGAGAGTTGAGAAATAGCGGCTGAAGCTTGCGAACGGTGAACTGGAACAACGGGCGATGGAAACTGAAAGATATGGGTTTTGATTTTTTGAACAATCTGAAATGATATGCCGATATGGGTTTTGATATAGGCCATAGGTTTTGAACTTATACCAATAACAGTTGTGCTAATTGAGTCAGCTGCTGGTCGAGGAGTAGCCGACATACACCAATCCTTATATTCAATATTTAGAAGGATGGACATCCCTAATTTCCATTTTTTCGAACGATATTGATCCTCCACTGTCGAGGTAACAATCCCAATGAAGGTCAAAGTTTCGGGGTTTTTGATAAACTTAAATATTTGGGTTTTGAACCTCTGATTCTTGTATATTTTGTAGTTTGCAGTTGCAGAGAGACAAAAAGGGGCAAGTTCAGTGAGAACAAGAATAGAAATGGAGGCGATTGGGGAGGCTAAAATGATTTGCCCTAAAAATATATATATATAATAATTATGGTGGCCCATCATCCATGGGCCTATAAATTACATAGTTAAATTTAAAATTTGTCTTTTAAAATATAAAAGGGTATAATAATAAATACGGAGTAGTTTCCTTTCATTTATTTTTCCAAATATGATTATTATCCTTCCCTTTCTTTTTCTTTACTAAACAACCAAACATGATAGGGGATTAAAATTATTTTTTTATTCCCTTCATTTCCCTCCCTTTCCATTCCCTTTTCCTCATAACTAATGTTATCATTTCTTTTCTTTCCCACCGTACCAAACATAACCTAAGAGCAGCTCCAACGCAGGCCTTTTAAAGCGATTCTGGGCAATTTCACCATTTTACTCCTCCAATGGCCTCGCCAAAAATTGGGTCCCACCCAATGGATTGAGGAAAATCGCGAGCTGCGGGCCTGCATCAGTTTTGCTTTAATTTTTTTATTTTGTCATAACAGTGTTTTAGCCCAGACCACTGTTCCTAAGGCTCTATTTGCTTGGAAAAAAAAAAGAAGAAGGAAAAAAACAGATTTTTGGCTTGTTTTGGCCTATCTTTTTGTTCCTCAAAATAATTGAACCAAAGAGCCAAACAGTGCCTTAAAGGCTTTTTTAGGCAAAAAAAAGTTAAAAAAAAAAATAGAGAAAAGTGTTTTTTTTTTTTTGAAAAATTTATTTTTTAAAATATTCCTTCTGACATATAGCCGTTTTAGGCATTGTTTGGCTAACCCAAATAGTGCCTTAACGGCTATATTGGCACAAAAACCTATTTTTTGAATTTATTTTTTGAAAAAATAATTATATATATATATTTATTTATTTAAAAAAAAAATTCATTTTTCCTCTATAAATACATCAACCCCTACTATTATTCACCTCATATCCAACCCATCTTATCTAGTCTTCAACCTACAACTACAATCATTAAGTCATTGTCTCAATCTTTTAGTTATATTTTTTACTCAAGTTCAATTCCATGGATCTTCTACCACCATATTACAACTACAACTCCCAATTCAACCAATCAAATGATAATTTTGATCACTTCTTATTTGTTGGAGAAGAATCTCAATTTTAGTCTCATCAACCTTCTCAAATTTGTAACATTCCTACTGAAGTGTCACAATCCAGTAAATCCTAACCTCCTAGAAAACAAAGGGCTATTCGGCCTCCTAATTGGTCCACGGTTGAAGATGAGGCCTTATGTTATGCGTGGATGGCCATTAGCACTGATGCGATCATCAGTTCAAACCAATAAAAGATAGCATTATGGATTTGAATTCAAGAAAGTTTTGAGCAACACGTCAGTGGTACTGGTACACCTAAAAGAAATCATATTGCCTGCTTGAATTGTTGGTCCTTCATGCAACAAATGATTACTAATTTTTTTGGATACATGACCCAAATCGAAAGGAATTACCCCAGTGAGCAATACAATGAATACATGGTATGTTATTTATTATATTAAATTTAATTGGTAGATATTTTAAAGATTTGTCTTCTAATAATTACTGATTTTTATTTTTTTAGATGATAGCAACTAAAAAATTGTTTTCTCGTCAAAATAATACCAAATTTAAGTTTGACAGTTGTTGGAACATTTTGAGGAGCAACAATAAGTGGCATTTAAGTTGTCAAAAAGAATTGACATAAAAAAAAAAAAAAAACCCGAAGAAGAGGAGTGGAATCCACATTGACGATAGTAAGTCTACTAGTCACTCAAATTCATCTACTCCATCAAATAATGCAGTAACGACACCGAGTACGGTTGAAGGATCAGCGCACATAGGCGAAAATGATCTGACGGATGTTGAAGAATGTCAGCGACCAGAAGAACGAAAAGCAGCGAAACAGAGATGAAATAAGGATAAAAGACAATCTGAAAGCCAGAATGATTTTATTAGCAAATTCGATCATGCAACAACCCTTTATCAAAGACAATCTGATGAAGTCGCTCAAATAACACGAGAGGCACGCAAAACAGATAAAGAAAAGACCAGATAACTCGAGCTTCAAAGCAAACTAAAAGAGATTGAAAACAAACAAAGAGCTAAAGAGATGTTAATCATGCAAAAAGATGCAGAATCAATGCCAACACAAGCCGGAAAAGCATGGTTAATTGAACGTCAAAATGAAATATTAGCATCTATACGCGCACGCGGTAA